TTATGAGATGTTGCACATAACATAATATGCCAAGTAAGCTAGTGAAAATATTATTAGATTATAGCAATCATACCTCTGGACAGATCCAAGCGTTCCCTGCTCCACGAATCTCCCCACCGTCAACAAGGGTAGCTCTAATACCATACAAATCAGCAACCTATCAAATGAAACAGGCTAATTTGAAAATATTCGAAATGATCATACATAGACGTCTTCCCGGAGGTGGAAACAGACAATGAAAATACTTACACAGTTGTCAGTGTTGAATGTAAAATTAGCAGAAAGATATGAAAATGGAACACGGTCAAATGCAGCAACTGCACCAGCTTCCTTGTTTTTCAGCATTGCCTCATATGCCACAGATGAAGGAAGATCTGGAGATAGATAAGCTATCTTCCTAGAAACCATACAACTCCCCACAAAAACGGGAGCATCAAGCGGGCCTTGACAGTTGAATACAGCTGTAACAGAACCAGCTAGCTGCAGTCCAAGATGATAGAATGAATTGGAACAAGATAAATGAGTCACTAAGAAGCAAAAAAACAAAAAAAGACAATGAAAATACATCAAGGGCTAAACACATGGTGTAGTTTAACAAAAGATGCATACGGCAATAAAACAATACCGGGAAAAACAAGGGCTTCATTTTGAATGTTTTCATCAAAGCATTAATTTCCACATACGGAACCTGAAACAAAATATGGACAATCAGTTGATGGGAAAAACAAAACAAATCAGGCATTAAGAATCAGGAAAGTCATCTAATGTAGATAGATTATTGATCCACATAACAAATCTTACCTGACACATCAGATGAAATTCCCCGTCATCAGGATGTATACCGAAATCTCCAGAAGCCTCCAAAGGAACCTTACCAAACCAACCACTAGCATTATGAAGGAAAATGCGCTGACCGCGGAAAGAAAGGCTGGCTGAGACATCCTGCAAAGGTAGCCAGAGTCAGCAAGGGATATATAGGGACGGCATCCTGCGTTTCCCGCTAGAAGATAACGACAGAAGAAGCATTATATATGAACAGTTACAGAAAGCGTAAAACCTCTATAGAAACACATATATATAGATCTTGTAGCACACATGAAATATATCATCAAGACATTGAAAAGGCATATTCACGAAAGACTTAAAGTCAAGACTTACAGAAAACGAAGAAGGCGCATCATATATGTGGAAGCCTAGTCCTGTGACATCAAGCTGGCCATGTAGGTTTGGAAATATTTCCCCTCTAGACATACACAGATGAACCTGCAATGCAATAGGTGACAGTCAGGGAAAGAAAACCCAAGGGCAAACCAAATTTTAATTTCAGAAATTTGCTCGGACTCATCAACTTGTAAAAGAGAAGAAAGAACTCCCAAACTTGACTAATAGGAAAAAAATGTAAAGGTTGAAAACGTAAACCATAGACTATTAAAGCGCATCGAAAATGATAAACTTTAATTCATTAAGAGGGCACACAGTGGACATTAGAAAAGCACCTCACCAGTAGCTCTTCCCTTTGACCACTCAATTGGGATCTCTAAAAGTCTTTCAAAAATCTGCAAAATGGTAGAAAAGAGATAATCAGCCATTGCAATTGATACCAAATAAGTCATTTATTCCACCTGATACCTTACCGGGACAAAGAAGTTGGCGACTTTTAAATTTGCATGCCAATTCTGCTCCAGAGTATCAACGAAAACGTCAACGGACAAAAGCCCACCATCTTCAGATGTTACATCTGATCTCCACATACTACATTTTCCACCAAGTTGAACATACACACGACCATAGTGATTCTGAAACCTGACATGTCCATGGATGTTCCTCATTTCTCTACATGATAAATGTTGTTTACCAAAATCAGTCACTAAACAAGACCTAAACTTCACTCAGCTTGCACTAAGTAAGCAGTGCTTTAAAAGACCATACTGATCTCATAAGAGTGAGCTAAAAATTGAAAGTTGAATGTAAACCAAAGGCCAAAAGTAAAAGTGTGAGCTACAAATTTGATTATTGAAAGTTGGAGTTGGAGTAAAAGAAAGGGCATGGTAAATGTTTGATTTGGACAATACATTACAAAGATAGATGAGCCTAACCTGGGCTCTGTATCGCCATAAGCTAATAGCATAAGCGTCCCACTTTTAAACTGCACAGAATCAAGCATAAATGGTAGTGTAGCAGGCAGCTTCTCTTGTTCATCACTCAAGTGAGAAGCATTGTCAGCAACATTCGGATCTGCCCCTCCTGTTAACTTCTTCACCATTTCCTTTAATTTTATATTCCATGGCCCAGTAGTACGCGAATGATTTGCCACAGAGTGATTATCATGCTTTTTGAAAGTAAAGTCACGAGGTTGATTACCACTTTGATTAAAATATGGAACATCATCAGCCTTCTGATTCACAACATTCATAGATATATCCCCTCTCTGACTGCTTAAAGTCTCAGATTCAGTAGTACTCGCAATACCTTCAACATATGAGCTTCCTTCATTTTGTATCAGTGCACAGAGCCTATCAACAGTCATAAGGAATGGATCACGTGATACAGCGAACTTGTCTAGCGTTGTAGCCTTTTTTACAGCGACGAGCCTTATCCCCCTCCCTCCATAATCGTCCCCATCCAACTCATTAGCTAATGATTGCTCACCATACGGCACGTGACAATCATCTTCTGTCTCACCTTTCACTAGTAGCATATCCAAATTCAACTCGTCAGACTTTTCTTGTGATAGGCTGTGGAAATAAGATTGAGCTGCTGAAGCACTGCGTTCAAGAATTCGCTTCTTGGCACTAATATCAGACCCTGAATTACCGTTTGATTTTGAATTCCACTTAAACTTGTACTTCCTCGGCCCCTTTAACATTTTGGACAAGAACTTGAGCCCTGAACCTGGAATCTTTATGCCAAACGATTTCTCCAACTCAGCATGCTTCACGTCATAATCAATTCCTGTGTCCATACAACGTTGATCTGCTGAATGCATATTTTCATCCATGCAAATAAAGGACTTGGAATTTGCTATCTCAATAAAACGCCTATCTTGCTTTAGAGCATCATCATTAGCTTGAGAAGGAACAATATAGCCCACCTCAGCAGCTTTTCTTGCATCATTATCCCTTTCACTATCCCAACGGATCCCTGCCTCCTCCCTCGAGACTCTTCGAGTTTTGGTACGAAAATCGATCCCTTCTTCAGAGGACAAATGACTATGCAAACTAGCTTCAGAAAAAGGTATCCCTAACCATGTAAAATCCTTCTTTTGTGCAACCAAGACTGTTGAATTACTCAGAATCGCATCAACCACAATCTTTCCCCTTCTCAGACTAGCAAAAGGACGGACACAAAGCTTCATAGTCGGAACCTCACCACACGAGAACTCTTCACCGTGAGTCCCCGCCGAGCAAGCTTCAAGGGTAATAGACAATGGTGAAACTCTTCTAACCTTTCCAAAATCAACCTCACGCTGGATACTCTCACTAACCATTGAGCAAACCGACGGCAAAAGCTTAGTCTCGACGAAAGCACGAGCTTTGTTCTGTCCATACCACACCAACAAACAAACCCCAGAGATCACAGCAAAGAAAACAGAACACCTCAGAAAAAACAAACCTTCCTCCCAAACAGGTGCCAAGGACCTAACAACAAATCCTCTGCTTTTAACAAAAGGCTCTTTCAAACATTTCACTTCACTCATTCTACTTCTGGAATCAAGAGACTTCCTCAAAATTTCTACATTTTCCCCACAAAATCTAGAAAATTTCTCGACTTTTGCTAACCAATCATTCTTCTTCTCTGAGCATATACGTTTCCTGAGGAATGCTCTTCTAACACGACTACGTCTATCATCAAAAGCATTGGTTTTTTTGTTGTTTCTACCATTTAAAGAACAATGAAGAAGAGGAGTACCAAGAAATGGGCTTTGCAATCTCAGACTCATTATCGCCACTCATCTGCTGGGGACCAAGAAGTTGAAGCTCTTAGTCCCCGAAAGCTTCAGAATTTAAGAAGACCCACTTTCTGGAATCGTGACATAGATTGGATGGCTCTCTGAGGCGACTGTACAGTAGCTGAGAAATTAGGGTTTGTATGTTACAGCGACTCAATCCCAAAGAGACAAAAGTTTTCTGCGATGACAAAGAGGATTATCAATAGAAATGAAAGAGCTTCGGAGCTCGAGAGAGGGAGAGAACTGAGGCGCAGAGAGAGATAGGAAAGAGAAGAAACTTAAACGGCGTTTGAAGTTTCGTATCAAAGTTTGTGAATGGTTAACAAAACTGATGCGTGCGTTTAAACCGCACTAAACGATTTCTGTCAGTTGTGCGCTTGAAACGCAGATATAGTAGATAGTGATAGTATAACGACGATTAACGAACCACGATTTCTCCTGCAAGGATAGTAAGAGTTCTCGCAAGGATTTGAATTTTTGAGTCTCTCCAATCTCTGGTTAAGTCGAGTATACGTAATTTGTGTGGTTCTGTTTGTTTTAACGATACGGATCTGAATGTTGTACAGTATACACGAAGGTTTCTCCATAAGTACTATATACAAGAAATGGTAAACTGGTGTCTTCATGTACAGATCACAACTATCTTAAGTTGTTCCCATTAGTCCATTACATTGGAACTAAGGATTATGAACATTTGACCAAAAGAAACAAAGAGGTGAAGATGGTACACACGAGATCCAAACACCACAAAGCATACATCAAACAATACATAAGAAGATGACAAGAGAGAACGCAAAAATCATCGCAACTAAAAAGGTCTGAGTTTAGATAAAAACAACTGTTTAAAAAGAAATGAAAGTTTTTGTCTTTAGCCTGTTCATCGTGAAACGACTAGAAAAGAAAAGGATTCAATGTCTTTTTTACCTCTAAAAACCAGACACCTTCAAAAGATTTATTAAGGAAGAAGAGACTCATATGAACAATATACGGCGAAATACATGCTCATATTCGTATGTCCATCAAGATCAAAATGGTGGTGATTTTGGAAGATTTACCGCACAGGCTGTTGGTTATAGTGGTTCTTCTCCTTCTTCTTTGCAGCCGCCAGCTTCGCACGCCTTGCAGCTGCCTCCTGCGCAGCGGTTTTCGCAGCAGCATCAATCTCTTTGCTTGATTTCTTCTTCTTCATGGATGCAAACTTTTTCAGCCTCTCTTTCATATCCATTGCAGATTCTTCCTCTGTCGGTTCAGACCCAGCAGCAGCTTCAACTGTGGCATCAGGGTTGCTGTTAGCTTGTTGCTCTTGAGATTCTTTTGCTTCCTTTTGCTTATCCTTCTTTTTCTTCTTCTTTGATGCCTTTGACTCCCCACCTGCTGCATTCTCTTTCTTCTCTCCCTCTCCATTGGCGTCTTCCTTCTTTTCTTGTTTAGCCTCTGCGAAAGAACATGCAAGGTATCAGTATTAGCAAGATAGTGACACAAAACAAATAGAGATGATACAGCAATACGGAACAATTAGTTGCTTTGCCTGTGCCAATACACGTGATTAGTACTATCAAAGATGTCACAATTGAAGGAAAAAATTACCTTGAGAGTCCTCTTGGCCATTAGTCTCCTTAGGGGCAACTCCAAAATCTGCTAACAGAGCCTCAAGCTCAGCAAGTTCCTTCTTTTTCTTCTCTTTCTTGGAAAGTTGCCTCTCTGCCTCTTTAGGAGGCGCAGGAACCTCAGGAGCTTTCTTCACCTCAGGCTCTGGTTCTGGATGAACCTGCACCTCTGTTTCCTGCTCATGCTCTTCCTCCGCATCATCATCACCTTCATCAAGAATATCTTCCTCACTTTCACTCTCCTGACAAATTAAACGAGAGAATCTCATCAGAAACCATGAAAATCACATATGCAATCTGGACACAAACTCACGCAAACAACAAGTTAACCTGAACAAATATTAGGCATGCCTACGCAAGCAAATGCAAGGAACAACATGTGCAACTATAACAATTCCTATTCTTTCACAGCCAAAACAACCACAAAACATAGACTGATACGTTTGTAACAAATTATCAGAGAAATCAACAGCAAAGCATAAACAAACTCTTAGAAAACTCAAGCCACAAAGAGAATGGTTAAGCAATAGAGTGAGGGAGCCTATTTGCTACCAGCAAGTCAAAATCACAACCAATTTAGGGTACCAGAGAGACAATTCAGGTAAAAGAGAAGCCCTGATTGAAAACAAACTCATTAGATTGAGAACAAAAAGCATTCATTTTCAGTGAAAAGCTGATAAGCACAACCAAATCATATATAGTTTTGACTTCTAACCTCAACGTGAGTGTCTTTTGCATCAACATGTGACGGCTCAGAAGTACCCCAGCCAGACTGTAGAGGAACAGTGGTGGCGTAGTAGTCATCATCTTCATCATCATCATCAATATCAGCCCAAGACTTAACTTTCAACGGCGTAGGTGCCCAGAAAACCTGTGGCTCAGGCTCCTTCTGTGTAGCTTGGGACGACTTAGAAGACCCTTTGCCTTTACCTGCCTTATCAGTAGTCTTCTTCTTCTTCTTGCGAGTGTCCAACGCAGCAAACAAGTTAGTGCTCTGGATCTTAATCGGTCCTTCGTCTCTCTTGTTTCCACCTCCAGCCATCCTTACACTTCCTCTCAATCAAATTCGATTCAGATAAAACAGCAAACAGCTCAAAAACCCAAGATCAAGGTAAAGCAACAAGCTTTCGTCTTCTCACAAAAACCTAATTCACGATTTCACCTGGAAGTCTCGACGAATAAACAAAGGGGAAAAAAACCTAATAGATAAAAGCAAAACGAAATCTAAATCTGGGTAGATTTCAACGCAATAACAAAGCTTTAATCGAAAATCCTAGACTCGAGACTAACCACTAGAGAACACACAACCCGATGGATTGAAAATTAGGATTCGAGATGAGAAATCATAAAATTCACCGGAAGATGAAAGAGCGAGAGGAGGAGAGAAGAGAAGCTGTGTTCAGCGATAGAATTTTAGGGTTTTTGCTTCTTTTCTATTGAGAATGAGGAAATCTGGGTGAAGCAACCGTATAGGTTAGGGCTAAATCGAGAAGGAGATAACGCTAAAGAGAAAGCCATTAAAACGCTCGTGCCTCTGAATTTATACGAGGAAATGTAAATTTACCTTTCGGTACCTAACAAATTTTGGCTTGCTTTTCTTGGCCCAAACTAAAATAATTTGGTCAAAATTTACATTAACTAGTTTGAGACAACGGTTTTATGATTTGGGAAATTTCAAAAATATAAATTTTGGGGTATTCATTTTCAAGGAAGAAAAAAAGTTCACAGTTAAATAATTTTTTTTTTTTTTTAAATTATGGTAGACAATAGACAAAAAGTCAAAAACGATGGAAACCATTTAATGCATTATGCATTAATACGTTTTTAGAGACAAAAGAACATGCAGATTGGAATAACTATCGGTATACGTGTTTGTTCATTTGAGAATAAATGTACGATTTAGTTTTGTTATCAATATAACATTTTCACAGGAAACAGAATGTATTATGCTTATAGGTGGAAATATCAACCATCTTACATATTCATAAGTATGTACAACTACTTATATGAATTGTGATAACTTTATTATAAATAAAAAACTGAATAGTTATGCTACATATTTAAGTGGATGATTCATCGAATAATTTCGAAAGGATTTCTCAAATGCAACTTTGATAGTAGTTACTCTGTGGAATGTGAATTCATGACAGTAGGATGGATAATAAGGGACCATACTGGGAGGTTTCTTGATGCAGGCTGGTCTAAGCTCCCGAAGGTGGATTCGCCGTTGCAAGCAGAGGCATGTGGATTCCTATATGTGACCCAACGTATATGGAGTAAAGGATGGCGAAACGTGTGGTTTGAAGGAGACAGTCTTGAGCTAACAAAGATAATCAACCACCAGAAACGAAGTATGGATCTAGGTAACATACTTTGTGATATTAACTTTTGGATCCAAAAGTTGCCATTATGTTCCTTAGGCCATATAAATAGGGAGAGAAATCAGGCAGCGGATGTATTAGCCAAAGCTTATGTTAATTCGCAAAGCTGTTGTATGTTTTACTCCTCCCCACCTCATTGGTTGAGGAAATACTTGTACTATCCCTTTACATTGTGAATTAATAAGATAGATGTTACAAAAATACAAAAATGAGTTAGTAAAATGCAAAAACAATAAGCTGTTAATCGAATACAAACATGGTACACTGATTTGTAATCAAACAAATGTAGTTACAACAATGCATCAGAATATTAAAACAAAAAAGAATACAAATAACAAAAAATGCACTCAGAATGATAATAAATATCACCCAAAAAAGTCAATCAAAAGCATAGAAGAAGAAAGAAGATTCAAGCACGTTCATCGGGCGATCGGACTGAGTCGATTTGTTGAGGGAGGCCGTTCTCGCTCTCGCTTGGCTTGACCTTCTTGTAGTTCCTCAACCACAAAACTCCCCACAAAATACCCGAAACCAAAAACCCTATAGCAGCATTTGAGCTCAAAGCAACAGCCGTGCAAACAAGCATAACAAACGCATCTGCCTTTGTGTTCATATCCCTAGCAGTCATTGCAAGCTCTATCCCAGCAAACAGCAACAAAGCCCCAATCATACCAACCGGAAACTTCGCCATTATACTCAACAACGAACCTCCTAAAACCAACCCTAATATCAGTTTAGCCATTCCCAACAACGCCACACACCCACCACTCCTCCCACCAAACTTGTACTGACCAGCTAACCCTCCGGCTCCATGGCAAGTAGGCATTGCACCAAACCAACATCCCACCATGTTCATCAACCCAACAGTCATCGAAACCGACGTCGCCGAGAACTGCTTCTCAGGGAACAAATCATACGAAAGCTTAACCACAGCCACCACAGAGTTTAAAACCGAGAGAGGTAACTGCGGAATCGTCCCTTTGATAAACCCGTTCTTCCATGCTTCTCTGTCTATCTTCACTATCTTCATCTTCGAAGGGCCAAACTTCATGTCGTTTATGATACCTGGCCTCCTTACAAACGCCAAGACAACACCTAACAAGAAAATCAACAAAGCAGATGGCAGACTATGCATGACCTTCCTTATCGAAACCCTTCTTCTTCTTCTCGACCCATCATCGCTCTCTTCCTCCTTCTTTTCTTCCTCTTCACCATCTCCATTCACAACAACTATGAAGAGAACACATATCAGAGCCAATATCACACCATCTAGCCCTAACCATGGCCTATCACCAGCACTCTTGTGCTTAGCAAAATCTTGCTCATTCCTAATATACTTCACCGCAGACATGGCAAAGGCTAAGCCCTGTGACAACTGAATCCCTCTAACAATAGATAGAGGGATTATGTTGAACACGTACTGCATCAAACCAGAGATCCCTAGCAAGAACAAGATCCCTCCGGTGCAGATTCCGGCAGCCATCATCTCCGGTATGCCGAAATCCTCGTTGGTTGATGAGATCGCCACGGCTGCTATGGACTTCATCGGTTGGACCGGCATGGGGACGCCGTAAAGCGCTCCGGTTAAGAAGTTGTATATGCCGGTGAATATCAGGGTTGTGCCTAAATCCAAGTCTTTGGCGAGAGTTAAAGCGAGGACGATTGGTATGTAAGTGCCGAGATCACCCATTGCACCGCTTATTTCGGCGAGCTTTGACCGGAAAACAAGGTTGGCCTTCAGCGTTTGGAACATTCCGGTGATGGAGTACGGAGAACGCCTTGGGGATTCCGGTTGACTAGTCTGAGACTGAGACTCCATTGTTGGTTGTGTTGATGGTGCAACAGTTTTGAGTTTTGGAGTGAAGATAAAGAAGGGTGTGTGTATCTGCTTTTATACTATCAAAGCGTTGACGATTAAAATGATTATTTATTTATTATTTTTGAAAAGGTCGATAATAGTATCTGATTCTTAACCATTGTCCGTTAAACATTTTCCTTGCGCTGTTTTATTAATGAGTGTTCCAAACAAAAAAAAAACATATTTTCCTTGCTGACAAAATAACATTCTCCTAAGTATTTTTTGGGTCGACAAAATTGTTTATGAACTAAATACTGGCGCATCTTTCTTTTCTTATGAATATTTACCACCCACTCGTTAAATATTGGCACATATTTTTATATCTTCAAGTGACACCCCTTCACGTTGTTGATGCTTTCTAAAAAATGTTGGATGTGCATTCTAAAAACACCTTCATTTTTTCTCACATTGGATTCCACCATTTAGAGAAAAAGTCATCTGAATTTTACAATAGTAGAAATTGGATCATAAAAGTTCTACAATGGAAGTTTTCTAAATGTCATAGAAGATATATTTCTGAACTTTAATTGGCTGAAATATGTAATATAGTAATTTGTATTTGTATCTCTTTTTGTCAATCAGCTTCTTGAGTTTTTGGATAATTGGGTCAGTTTCTGATTTTTTTAGTATAAATATAATTACACATGATATAATAAAAATAGGTTATCATTTTCATAGTCTTAATAATTTTGTTTTATCTGCATATTATGCAGGTTCTAATATAGTCATCAAACAAAATGAAAAGCTTCGATGATGATTCTTGTTGAGTATTTTTATATAAAAACAAAAAATGATTCTTGTTGAGTGTTAAAGAAAATTCCTTTAATTCATAATTTTTTTTGCTTTGATATGTGTTAAAAAAATATATGAATTTAATATTGGCACATTTGTATGTTCAATTAGCACTTGCGTGTGAAGCTTTTCTATAATTGTCAGCAATAATAAATAATCTATTTATGAAATATGTTTGTATACAAAGAGTCAAGATTTAACCTACATAATAATTATGTATATATTTCTTTTCGCTTCATAAATAATGTTATTTTACAAGCGTTCACACATATTAAAAATAATTAAAAAATCTAGTTTCTGTATTATTTTATCCCAAATAAGTCAATATACTAAAACTAAAGCAATAAGGTCAAAAAATATTTTTTACTGAAAAAAAAAGAATGATATGTTTGTGAAAAATACATCTTTGTGAAATGCAAGATGTATACTCCCACCGTTTTATAATAGTTGTCTTTTTGGTATTAGTTTTTTTTTTTTCAAATTAGTTGTGGTTTTCAGTTTTTAAATTTAATGATAACTTTTACAGTTTTGTCCATACTTTTTAGTTTATGAATTATTATTCATATAAAAATAAAAATTGTAAGTAGGGATAAAATAGAAAATTTCATTGTTTTCTTAGTTTAAACAACTTAGTATGAAAACTAATTTAAACGAAGGGACTATAACATTAAAGCTACGATTAAAGAAATGGGGCATGGGAGCGAGTAGGTGTGGTGCACAGCAGTATAGTATTCCAAACTTGTGGGTTTATTGTGTTAGTATAAAGCTGGAGCTTGACCAAGTGTTAGAACATTCAAAAAGCTGGAGCTTGACTAAGTGTTAGAACATTAAAAAGCTGGAGTTTGACTAAGTGTTAGAAAATTAAAAAAGTTGGAGTTTGACTAAGTGTTATACCGATTTTTGACCAAGTGTTAGAACAATCCAATTGTTGAAATTGTGGAACCCCGGAGCTATTAGCTACTAACAACACTCCACATTTCCTCACAGCGTGATAATGTGTATGCTTACAAGGTCGATCCCACGTAAAAGTTTGTTATTCCTCAGTTTCCATGTATACTATATGATCCGAGAATGGTGAAATGGGGCAGGAGAGGACATGGGGACGAATAGGTGTAGCGCATAGCAGTATAGTATTGGAGAACTTGTAACTTCTTATGTTTAAAATAAAACGCTGGAATTTTTTACTAAGTGTTGAATGAGTAGTTAATCTCTACTCTCCATAAGATTAGGCTAAATATTTTATAAGCTGATTTTGACATTGATCTTGTGTATCTCGTGGTATGACATGTTCAAGACGTTAAAGAAAAATAATGAAATCATTGAATGCTAAGTTAATTCAGATGACATTTCTAGCCTGAAACACAGCCAGGGGAGTCGTGGAGATCGGTGGTCTCTTCATCGGTGGTCGTCCATGTAATCATGTACTCCATTTTCTTTATTTTATCTCTACTTGTTCATTTCATTCGCTTTATAGTAAGCTTCAGTTGTTGAAAAGTTATAATTTAAAGAGATTCCACATCATTCAAGGTTGGCGTTTATCAAAAGTAGCTTAGGGAATATATAACTTAAGAGTACTTTCAACACAAGAAAATACATAAATTAGATATCATGAGTGAGTTGGTGTTGAATCTAAATGTGAAGGACAACATTAAAGGCCCGTATGATATAATAGGTAAATGAAGGACGACGTGAGGGACTAACTTCTTTGCACATTACAGGCCTGTAAGATACTAGCTTTCTCCATGGTAACTTTCAAAGTAGAGTAATTCAAATTGTAAGGCCATCGAACATAAAAGGAGAGAAACACCCTTAACATCGCCTCATTTGTTTTGGAGAGCAACACTTATACATGTTTTAACGAGCAGATGAGTAATAAGTAGTGGGACAAGTAGCAACATTTGGTAAGTGCTAAATAAAATAATGATACTTGATCCGTACTTGCAAGCAATTAAATTTGGTTACTTGTTATTGATCATAGCAAATACTTTACTGCAACCTCTTCAAATGGGCTTTCAATCCCTTTAACATTGTGGACTGAATTTGGGGTGAAATCCAACACCAACATTATCTATTCGCTATTCAGATCAACAAAACATGTGATACTGTCGTTGTTAGATCTCATAACCTTGTGTACATACTACTGCATGTGGTAGATTCATTAGAAAACATACAAGTAGGGGATTCATCAAGGATGTTCATCAGGCTGCGTCAGTGCGTAGGGGAAGACCGCTCGCGCTTGGCTTGACCCTCCCATAGTTCCTCATCCACAAAACAACATACAAAACAATCCCAGCAACAAACCCTATTGCAGCATTTGAGCCCAAAGACACAGCAGCGCAAACAAGCATAACAAATGCATCTCCCTTTGTGTTCATATCCCTAGCAGCCATTGCAAGCTCTATCCCTGCAAACAGCAACAAAGCTCCAAGAACACCAACAGGAAACTTCTCCATTATACCAACCAATGAACTTCCCAAGACCAATCCTAACAACAGTTTAGCAACTCCCAACAATGCCACACACCCACCACTTCTCCCACCATACTTGTACTGACCAGCTAACCCGCCCGCTCCATGACAAGTAGGCATTGCACCAAACCAACATCCCACCATGTTCATCAAACCAACAGTCATCGAAACCGATGTAGCCGAGAACTTCTTCTCAGGGAACAAATCATAAGACAACTTACACACAGCCACAACAGAGTTCAAAACAGAGAGAGGTAACTGCGGAATCGTCCCTTTCAAGAACCCGTTTCTCCATGCTTCTTTGTTCATCTTCACTACCTTAATCTTCGAAGGTCCAAACTTAATGTCTTGTACGATACTTGGCTTCCTTATGAATGCCAAAACAACACCCAACAAGAAAACTAACAGAGCAGATGGTACATTCGCTATAATCTTCCTTATCGAAACTCTTCTTCTTGAATCATCTCTCTCTTCTTCCTCTTCTTCTTCTTCTTCACCATCTCCATTCACAAGAACTATGAACAGAACACAAACCAAAGCCAATACCAAACCATCAAGCCCTAACCATGGCCTATCACCAACACTCTTTGACTTAGAAAAATTCTGTTCCTTTCTAATATACTTAACCGCAGACATAGCAAAGGCTAAGCCTTGTGACAGTTGAATCCCTCTAACAACAGATAAAGGAATGATATTGAACACAAACTGCATCAAACCGGAGATTCCTAACACGAACAAGATCCCTCCGGTGCAGATTCCGGCGGCCATGATCTCCGGTATGCCGAAATCCTCACCGGTTGATGAAATCGCCACGGCTGCAATGGATTTCATCGGTTGGACCGGCATGGGGACGCCGTAAACCGCTCCGGTTATGGCGTTATATATGCCAGTGAATATCAGAGTTGTGCCTAAATCCAAATCCTTGGCGAGAGTTAAAGCGAGGACGATCGGTATGTAAGTGCCGAGATCACCCATTGCACCGTTTACTTCGGCGAGCTTCGACCGGAAAACCAGATTGGTTTTTAGTTTATGGAACATTCCGGCGATTGGAGAACGCTTTGGGGCTTCCGGTTGACCACTCTGAGACTGAGACTCCATTGTTTGTTTGTGTTGACGCATGCAATAAGTTTAGATTTTTGCATCAAAAACAGAGCAACTATCTCTTTTTAAGCTATAAAAAAAATCAAAGCTTTGACAAAAAAAAAACAATTAAATAATATGAAGAAAAAGCTTTTGATGGCTATTAGTGACAGTATCTGATTCTTATTGTGTGTTAACCAAAATTTCGTTTTTATTATATCAAAACTTTCCGTAATATCTTGTTTTGGGTTGTACTTATCGTCAACTACTTTGTCATGAAATTGATTACCAGCACATAGTTTTATATTTTCAATTAACACCTCTTGCGTGTTGCAGATGTTCTATACATGTCAGCAACATAAATCACATATTTATGGAAAGATATCTTGGTATAAAAAAAAGTAGTCTTCACGGGCACTATCTATTGCAAGAGACAAAAGAGATATAGTAATAAATCATTATAGATAAATCACTTATTTAATTAAAATCTCCATACAAACCATTCATAGAAAGACCCTTGAAAACAGGACTCAGAAAAAAGAAAATGGAGTGGTTACACAATCCCTTTCTTGCAACCAACACACTCTCTTCACGACACTTATTCGGTTATGATGATCTTAGTAAGTATTCTTCAACTCCGATATCCAAACATATATAAAAAAAACCATTACAAAATATACAAAAAGAAAGCCTGCCGACCGATCCATCCGTGGCTGCTGCAGCTGATAATAGATGCGCATAAACACAGCTCTTTTGTAGACGGATGAAACCAGTTTTAGTGCCAAATGTTACCTACCATTTGGCATGACACTAGAGTCAAATACATATATAATAAAGTCTTTTAGGTAGTTAATAGACGATGGTCCGGGTCTATAAAAGCTCGTCCCATGGCAGCCGTCGCCTTATTAGCCGCTTCTTGTTCAAAAAAACTTCTTTAAAGACTCGTGCATAACTACGCACGAATCTTCCATGTCCTCCTCCTCTACCATCATCTCCTCCCAACGACACTCCTCGCTGCAAAACCCTTTCTCTCTACATTTCATCACCACACAAACATCACAACGTTAATCATGTATGTATCTAAAATTCCAAATCTATTATGCATCTAAAATTCCAAATCTATACTAAGTTGTGAGACTATAATCATCCTATGCAGATTTGTGTGTGTTAGTAATGATTGGAAAAGGAGCACAAACCTGTACATATATATGTCTTCGCCAACATCAAGTTTCTTGTTGCAGAAGTTACATACGCTGAGGAAGTTATCAGAGGGAAACTCTGTTTCGATATGCTTCTCTTTGTTAACATCATCTTCCTTCAACTCATTCTTGTGACACTCTAAAACTCGGTCACCGTAAATATGAGTCGTTTTAGGGTTAGGACCGTGTGAAATGATACAAGTGTAATCCTCTGACATCTCCATCTCCTCCTCAGATACACAACCGGAGAACACAATGTCTCTTTCTGCGGCCAACTTGGATCGAGACAACGTGCGGTTCCTCAACCCGATTGGCTCGGTCTCGGATAAGTTGTCACCGATTTCGAAAATTCCACCAGATCTTTCCTTCTCTTGAATCTTCAAAGATTTGGGAGTGTTGTTATCCTTAATCTCAGAAGACTTGATCCTCAAGGCAGGTCCAAACACAACGTCTGGTGACAAAACCCGATCATCGCCGAGAGAATCCACAATGCTTAACCCAACTTTTGATGGACCCCAGCAACAGTTGAGATGTGCAGTGAGTGATGATCTTGGAGATCTGAGGAAGAATGGCTCGGCCACCATTGTAGACAACATCCTGAATTCAAGAGGAGACTTAGGGCTTCTGACAAAATCAGAATCTGAGATGCTGCACTTGTTGTTGTTGTTCAGACCGATCAAGAGACTCAAAGCCAGTGGACTAGTGATCGCTTTGTTGTTGTTGTTGTGTCCGATCGGATCTGATTGATGAGGATCCACAGATTGAGATATTGCTTGATCTTTGTGGCGAAATCTTGATCCTGTTTTCAGCATTTTTACGGTTACGGTTCTTCAATCTGTGCATAAAATCAAAACGTATCAGAGATACCAAGATTCATATGTATAACCACAAAATTAGACCGATAAATTAGCATCAGATAAGTTTAAATCATAAAGTACGGTACTTTTTGGTATGATAGTTAATCTAGTTTGATTTGTTTATCTTTTTACCATAAAAAATATTTTTATGAAATATCTAGAAGGCACAAAAAATGAGATTTTCCAAGAATATGCCAAAATTTATTTGAATGAATTCCCTTGTGGATTACACAGCTTGAAATCAGCGGAGAAATATTTGCAACAGACACAAGAATAAGGTAAATTTTGTTTTCCAATAAACCATTCAAAATTAATTTATTAGCAAAAAAATAAAATCAAGTTATTCCACAATTTTAGTTACTCTGGTTAGATTTATTTCTTTATACAACAATTCTATATACCAAAAAATAAGATTTTCCAAGAATATGCCAAAATTAATTTGAATAAATTCCCCTGGATTACGCAGCTTGGAAAGTTGAATTCAGCGGAGAAATATATGCAACAGACAAAAGAAAATGGTAAATTTGTTTCTTAAAAACCCTTAAAATTAATTATGAAGTTATTCCAAGAACTATGACGCAGAAGAAAAACCATGCAAACTTTATAGAGACCGACAATTTATCTACAGAGCAAATTCGACAGAGATACATAAAAGAACTAAAATTAAACACTAAGCCTTACATAAATTAAATTATCAAACACAATTAAACATAAAAAACTATATCTCAAAACCATTTTTCTGATTAAGAAGAAGAAATTAGCTTTTTGGTGAGAAACAAAAAAAAAAAAAAAATAGCTTCAGGGTTTTTAAGGGGTTTCAGCTTCTTGTTAACCGAAAATCAAATTCTGAGATGGGTTTCTTACATGGATCTTGCAATCTCTCAATCTTGAAAAGAAAGAAAACAAAACCAAGAAACACCCGGAAGCTGAAGAACAGGCACTTATGAAAGAGAAATTAGACAAGAAGGCAGGAAGAAATAAGAAAGAAGACTGACCCGATAGGATCCTGGATTCGGATCTTTAGACGGGTCAGGAGAAAGATCCAAAAGCGCGTGGAGGTGAAGAGCTCTTTTCTTCTCACTTTCACTCAAAGTCTTGAAGAAAGAGAAAGAGTGAGCTTTTTTTTAAATACTTGGCTCTCTTCTCACTCTTCTCTATACTTCTTCAGAAGTGTCGGTTTCATACGCTCTTGTTTCGAAAAGAACCAAGAAAATTGCTATATTACAAATTAACCAGACTTTTCTTTTTACTTTTTCCAACCATATGAATATGTTAAGTTAGGTGAGAAGAGTTTGTCACATTTTGGGCCTTTAACCACTTTTGGAGCCGAATTGAAAAGAGAGAGAGAGAGAAACAACATTTACTTTGGAAACTTAAAACATTTTGATAGAAAATATGCACAAACGTTTGCCTCGCAATAGCATCTACTGTAGTGATATAAATACGGATCTTTTACATATGCTTGTAAGGATCTTTTACATATGAAGATTAGGTACTCTAAATTGAATTGCATTCAATATGCTCTAGTTGCCTACCATCACGTATTAAGGACTCTATATTACACATAAAAACCGTAATTTTATCAAAGAGTATATTTGTACACATACAGAATGATGAAAGTGTCATATAGTAAATTTACAAAATAAATGTACTTATTATAGTTAATTCAATAGGCATGCAAAAACTAAAAAGCTATATAATTATTCTCTCTCGACCAAAATGTTTGTTTTTATGCTTTTGATACATAAAATAGATGAACTAAGCTCTTTAAGGATTCTTTTTTTAAACAGTAGATGATAGAAGCTAGCTTGAGAAGACAGAAACGACACCATTGTGCTACTTCTTGTGGGAAGACGCGTATACGCGGAGAAAGGTTCATAGATATTGTCAGGATCTCTTTCATGATTATATATGGTAAAGTCTATTCTTAGGATGCAAGCAACTGATCATAAATGCATCGGAGTTAAGTCATAGACTCATTCATAGTCGTTGAAAAGAAACTGCTAGCTAGAACATTAGGATAAAATATTACTATTTTCTGATTTTTTTCTAGTGACCATTTTGTTTTAATATAAATAGCTTTTGGAAAAGTTGTCCACAGCTATAGCTTTTTGAAATTAAGCACATATAAGAATAATCTAAATATTGCAAAAACTCAAAAGCACTCGAACTAGGTAGTTGACGAATGGTGACGGTGGAATGCGGTACATTCTGTACTTTGACAATTGTCACCGTTCATGAATTTTTGTACCATTTATAGTTTGTGCCGTGGAACGATTGTGCGATTCACGGTGTGTACGTGCTTCAAATTTTTCCTTTTTGTTTGGTCAAGTTTTCATGAACCTCACTTGAATCAAAGGCCAATCCCTGAAAGAAGGCCGTTCAAATTTTTTTTTTCATCTACCTGTTGAATTTTTTTAAAAAGGTAACATTCATACAAAAAAATAAAAAAATAAAAGGTTGAAAGAAAATATAGTTTTATCGATTGAGAACATTTGAAGTACTAAAACTTCAGTCAAAGTTGAAATGTATTTTAACCATAGTGCACTAATTTTATTTTAGAAAATTATTTTATCCAAATATTCAAAAGTTTACTATCCATCTAACAAAATTTATAATTTACTCACGTTGAACTATATCATAGTAACTGTCACGTGTCAAAATGGCAGAACTATCCCCTGACGGCTGACGCATTACGACATCATTCTCCTCGCTTGCACTTTACATTTTTTTTTTTTCTTTGGCTATAATTTTTGGCAAACTTTAAAGAAAAGAGTTGTCGTTTTCCGTGTATTGAGACTTTTGCCAGAACCAAGAACCATGCACCGACACGAGTCAGTATCACTGTTCTCGTGGTTGAGAGAATCCAACGGCGAACAACAAAATGTACCTCGATAATCAACGGTTAGTTTTTTATAGTTGGGTTTTTGTTTTTGTTTTTTCAATATATTTTTTGACGCTCCTTCATGTCATAGTGCTCTTGGTGAACCCCATGAATCTCCACACGTGTGATTCTTGTGTCGGCTTGTCCACTACTCAATCCTAGATTCTTGAAACCGTGTACGTTTTGTTTTTGTTATTATTTTGTTACTACATTTTTCAACATGCGTTATAAATAATTTTTGTGTGGTTTTTCATAAAAGAAAACTCATGTAGACTAGTGATACATCAAAAACATTTACATATAGTTTAATAATGTATTCTTGGGAGTTAATCACAACAAAAAGGTAAATTCATACCCAAGCATCGCTGAGTATGAATTCGTACGGGATCAGAACAATGTTAAGAGCTAAAACACTCACCATCCTTGTAATCAAGAATCACATTTCTCTATCTCTAGCTAGTTGCATTGATCAAAAACCTTAATCAAATTAAAAAAAAAAAGAAAGAAAAGCAAAATCAACATCTTCACATTCGTTGAGAATCAAAGCGAGACGGATATACAGTTCAAGAGATCACATGGTTCGTGGTGTGTAAGCACAATAACATTCGACCGTTCAATCACCCCTGACATGAACATGAACATTCCACCTTTACCTAAATTCTTCTCCAACCTAACCACCGTGCACCAAATTCTCTTGTTTCTAAATAGATTTGTACGCCCATTCTGAGACTTGACCTTCTCGTACCATATAATCACCAGTTCCCACCATTGTTTACTAATTGAATCGTTCGGCTATGATCATCAGCAATCTTCGAATACAGACCTCCAAAACCCCGAACTACTTTTGACCACTTTCCACAGCTTAAGTCATAGTACCATATGTACTTACTACCTCCATGTACTTTAAACACTCCATTTTCTATAACGCACCAATGTTTTCTACTGATAACGTCCCAAAGACACAAACCAGGAACCAAACCACTAACCAAATCCAAACCAAGCTCTCGTGTTTCCTCCCATATTCCTCGGTCATATACATAGGTTTTACGCTTGGAAATAACGTATAGCCTTCCTCCCAAAACTAAACCTACGTGATCGTTCGGGTCGAATCTATCGTCATTAGGGCTAGGCAATGGCTTCCACGTCTGAGTCTTTAGGTCAAAAACCTCACCCCAATTCATGGAGTCCTCTACATTTAACCTGTTTCCTCCCATTACATATATCTTCCCGTCCTAGAAACAACAGTCGGCGCGTTTCCTTCCCACCGTCATGCCAGGAGCACGACGCCACGTGTGAGTCCGACAATCAAACACATGAACGGCTTTGGATAGTTCTTTTTTCTTGTTTTGTCTGCCGATATGGTAGATTTCGGGACCGACGGTTACAAGCGTTGACGCAAATAGTGCAGGAGAGTCGGAGGAAGACGGTGTTATCGGTACTAAACCTGACTCTCCCTTAATCTTACCGTTTCTGATTATTTGGGTTTGAGCAGGGTTAGTGAGAATGAACCAGATACGATTGAGTAACTGTAAACATACATAGAAGCGAGGCTCTGTGGCTCCGGTTTGTGATCGAGCCGCGTAGTCTCCGGAGAGGAGAGGAGAGAGTAGAATCTTTTGGAGACTGAGCAGAGGGAAGGGTATTCAGATTTGGAGATGCGTGCTAAGCAATCCACAATGATTTCATCTGGGAGTGATAACAACGATGGAGATGATGACTGATGCAACAGAGGAGGAGCAGGAGGATTCGTCGTCATCCTCGGTGGCGTCTATAGCAAGTTAGCAACGAGACAGTAGTTTCGGATTTAGGCTTTAGCCTTTTTGTTTTCTTTTTCTTTTGTTCAGCTACGAAAAATCCAAACCTTTCCTTTATAGGGGATGTTACATTATTGAAAAACAAATCCCCTTAAAATTGTAAATTTACCTCTTTAAAAAAAACCAATGTATGGAAATTTGAAAGGAAATATTAAATTTACACTCTTTATAAGCTTCATTCTCATACTTTTGTAACACCAAAAAGAATATAGGACTAGTTTTGAAAAGCCAACTGCAAAACAAGCCGAAAACAATCAAATTATTAATGAACCCAGAATATTTTACAAGTGCACATTTTCTCTATTTTGTATCACAACACAAAAAGCGCTTTTGTATAACCTCATATCTTCATAGGAGAGATTATACCATTTCCACCAGGTTCTTTTAAATAACCTGCTCTTAAAGTTCTAAAGCAAAAAGTCTTATAAGACAGCTTCTTTTTTGCAAACAAAAAAACCGAGTTGGAAAAATATAAGGCAAGACTATAAAGTATAAACTAATCTGCCGAAAAAGATATTCACCTCAAAAGTTTTCAAGTTGGTTTTGACCAAGTTCGTGGAGAGAACAGGGCTTCTTTACATGTATTGTGCTAGCCATTGCTTGCACATGTCGAGTACAGTGAGCGAATTGGCATGTAGGGCTTGATGAGCAACATATTGAACATCAGCCACGCTTCCGCTTTTGGCTGCAATCTGGAACGCACTTTTCAGACGACCACATACCACGCAAGCCAGCACCTTTCTGCACTCGTTTACAATAAGACTTGTGTTGATCAGACTAATGATCCCGCATGATTGTATAACGCTTTAATGGTAAGTTAATGGCTTCATGAGATAGGAGTGATAGTGGAAGGCAGATCTAAAGAATTATGACTGCACTTACCGATGGCTACTTGTTAACATGTCTATGAGACGGTCAGGGCGCTCTTTGTGCTTGTTGGCATATACACTGATGGCAGCACCCAGGACCTGCAACATTTCACAGACATAATAAGAGTGTCATAAAACAAGCTTTCCCTGTATAGAATATGTAAATCCAAATACTGAACATCATATGTACCACTGGCTTAAACAAATTCTTTTGGCCAATCAACAATAAAATGCTTCTGAATTCCCAAATAAGAGAGTTTTATGTAGGACCATACCTGATCCCAGTCGTCATCTTCGATTGTTCCTTTAACGTTTTTGAAAAGTTCAGTCAACTGACCGCCTTTCTTCCTATCGGCTAGTGACGCAGCAACACCAGCATATATATCAACAGCTGCTTAGAAGTAAGAGAAAAGTCAGATACCTTGGAAAACAACATTTCACAGATACTAAACATAAAACAGATATGGGCACCTGAGAGCTTGAATTCATATATAACTTGAAAAGCCAAGTCAAAATTCTTCTCAACAAGAGTCTCCACTATTTCACATCGTCTCCTGAAAGTAAGAGCGAAGAATACATATCATCAGCTGGACGTTTTTCTTCCAACTTTCACCAGAGCATATAAGATCATTTACTTCGGTCTTTTAAGGATAATAGGTCAGTGTGGCACTGTTACTAGCTTTCTGTCTTTGTACTATATCAAGTTTTGTAATCTAAACATACATATTGCTTAACCTTGTGTAAAAATTTGTTTAAACGATAATAGGGAGCAAGTTGTATCAACAAATGATGGCAACTTTTGGCAAGAAAATTATCTTATAGGACAAACCTGGATGTCTCTGAATCATTTGGATTTCCGAACAAGGATTGCTTCCATGGTGCACCTTCAGAGTCACTGAAGGACTTCACCACATCAATCTGTAGGAATAAAGAACCCACAACATGAAAGGTGCAGATATAAATATATAAAGCCCCTACTCATCAAAAGAATGACAAAACCTGTGTTAAAAAAGTTACCTGCATTTTCACCCGAGTAGCCAACGTAAGAAGAGCTTCTTGACTTAGCTTCTCAACGGCACTTTTCCCTCTAACACCCTTTGTAACAAGTTTTTTCGAGTCTGAACCTCTAAGACGTGCTGTCAATGCTTCGTCGAAGTGTGCCTGTACCCAGAGGTTAGTTAGAGACAGATGTGCCAAAACTAACAAGACTAACAAGCAACAAAGAGTTCATCATAGTTTTGTGCAGCACTGCCATGATATGATTGCAGGGCGATTCTTCGTTTAGGCCCCAAAACAAGATGTGTATAGAAGTCATTTATATCTCTGTTTATATAAGTAATAAGTACTTTTATGAAATGGGTGGTGGGGAAAGAGCTACTGGGTGCTGACTCTATACCTGTGCATGCTCAAGATGCCTTACAGCTTCCTCCTGAGTGTTCGAATTCATAAAAAGCTGAATACAGCAATACCCAGAGGTGACGTAATCTTTCTTGAGTACCTGAACAATTAAGAATTTTTTTGAGTTTATTAGCATTACGTTTTAGAAGCCACTTGTCCGTCTTTCCAGAAACAGAAAAGAACACTTCTAAGTCATGACCAACAAAACATGGTTACATGTACTAGATTTAAAACTTAATACTAATACCATAAATGCATAGCCAAATTCGTAAAGTCATACGAATAATCTCTTAAACTATAGGATCTGGACTTAAGGATGCACTACAAACTAATTTCAAGCTTAGTGCATGAAATTAGTCTCTTAAACTATAGGATCTGGTTCAGATTGCAGGAGAGGACGTGCAAACCAGAGAGCTGAGAATGTTGGTATAAGATGCACATTTTGGTATCAAGTGAAAAACTCGAAGTGAGAGCAACCCAACAAAATAAGTTGTAGGCAAATTTAGAGAACCATGACAACAAAGATGTTCTCACCAGAAACTTGTATAGGTAATTGAAATGCCGGTTGGTCTCAAAGAAAGCACATATACGTGTAAGGGCTCCAGCTATGTACTGATTTATGGCTTGATCTTGCTGCTTTGTGGATCCAAGTCTTTCCGTAATTACTTCTTCAAGGGATGAGATAGCTCCATAACCAACACAAAACTCGCACAGATTTTCAATGGTCCCGTATTCAGTTGCCAAGGGATCTGTTCGTTGAGGTGATGAAGACGAGCTTACTGCACCCACAGATGAAGTCTGCAAAGGAAGGGGAAGAGCACTTGGGGGAAAGAATAACATGCAAGCATCTTTAAAGTGACCATGCCGGAACATAAAACCAAGCAGGTTTGGTCGAGCATGCTGCAGAATCAGAAGAATTTTTTTTTAATGAACCAAAACAAAAGTAAAATGTAAGATAATTACCGGGTCAACCTAAAGACATGTTCAAGACAGAGAAGTATATTGTGAGGTAATTTCAGGAGAGAAAACTTGCAAAATCCAGAATGCACTAGAATATTATGGCCTTACTTCCTGCAAGTAATTGGTACACTCAGAATAGCGAGTACTATCCAAGTTGCTTCGGGGCCCATCGTCAAAGTCTAACCCGGGCACAGAGTTATTCTTTTCTGATTCCAAAGATCTCCTCGACCTCTCTGAACGAGGGAAAGTGGATGGCATATGGAGAACATTCAGGTATGAATCTGCTGATAAAGAATCGTCCAAAATTGTTGGCGCGCTTTTAGCCAAATGGTCATACCTGACATGCATCAACAGTCCCAAGAATAAGATCAAGTGGTGCAACAACAAAGATTTCCAATCTCACCAATTTTATAATTCCGTACATAACTCATTAAGCTGCTTTTATGTACTTACAACATACGATCGATATGTATATGTTCAACTATTGATTAAACACTTTCCTGTCCTGTGACTGGATTAGCAAGACATTTCACAAATAACCCATACTAGGAATAGAGATACTTACATGGAACGAACAGTTGACACATCCACAGGGGGACCTCCTTCTATTGTATTTATTATCTCCTGAATAACATCAGGAATGTCTTCCCCCTTTAATTGAAACGCTTGCCTATAAAGCACATAACAAGAACATTACTATTGCATGCAACCTGAGGATACAATATGCAGTAGAAGGTTATAATTCATGTGTATTGCTACAAGCTTTAAACTATCACGTACTTGAATTTGACTCGAGCTTGGGCATAGCGCTCCATCCGTAACAAAGCAAGACCCCATGCTTTCCACACGGGAAAAACATCAATCTAAAATTAATCAGGAAAACAAGCAGGGTTATTGCGATGAAGTGGCTTACCATGGGGTGAGAATGAAACTATAAATTTTACCTTGCATTTCTTGCACATATACACCGCCATACTATACCGTTCATCAGATATTAATCTGTCCCGTAGACATTCGGATGACAGTTGATCAGCAATGTCATCAAGAGACGCAGCAATTCCAGACCCTAGTAGGCTCTGCAGCAACTCTGCACGCCCCAACCAAATTTCCGCAAGTGAGAGAACTTCGGGTGGTTCATCCGTTGACTGACTGCCAACACTGGAGCTGCCAGTATCAGAAGATATATCATCAACATCTCTACTTCTTTCAATGTTGTTATTGGTCAATTCAGTGGCACCCAGAAGCTTCCTCAGCAAAGATTTCGCATAAGATAAACCCTGCACAAACAGCAAACAACATTTTTTTTAAGTAATCCAAATCAGCAACCACTCTCGGGTAAAAATATTATAAGACATACAAGAACGACCATGTATGCCCATGTAGGAAAGACGCCCTCCAAATCTGATTCGGTGGAGGGCACTTAAACCAAAAATTGTCATACCTGAACAAATGCCTCCGTCGCATGATACGCTCGGCCAATTGTTTCAACAGATGCACCCTCTGACAGCTGCTTGGAGCTCAATACATTCTTCATTTGATTGATGCATAAGTCAATGGCACTTCTTGCTGATACTAGCTCATCTGAACAAAGTGAGAGCAGAGCCTGGAAGAAGAGTAATGTCATATAAGACCGAAGCTTACACTTACTGCCATAGGTGTAAATAAGAACAGCAATACCTTGAAGAGAATAATATCTGGGGTGCTTTCATATTTGT